AAGAGCACCTTTCTGAAAGAGGATTTCAGAAAAGCAAGAGGAATGTTCAAAGGCAAAAAGAGAAACTGAGCTAAAGGACTTTCATATACCTGGACAAGCTATGTAATGTGTACCAGACATTTACCTAAAAAGAACATGTATAAACTGAGTTCTTTGTAACCAGAAAATGCCTATAGATATTTTCCTACAGTTATAGTATTCATCACAGAAGTTTGCAGTATGATATATACACTTACTAACAGTCACAAAAAACTGTTTCCTGAATCATCTCACATTTAAAAGCAAATTTAAACTACATCTATTTTACTTATCCATGTAAGCAAAATTAAAGACCGTACGAGTGTCTTTAACCAGTATAGAATCTGAGATCTTCAAGTAAAAGCCTTTGGCTTTGGAGAAAACAATTAGAGAATAAAGCTCTAATACCAGCTATCGGGGAGAAGGTGGTCCAGCAGACCAGGCAGGTCAGGTTCCAGCCCAATGTGGTCACTGAGTGTCTTTACAAAATGAGGAAGTGGGGCCAGATGTCTTCAAACCACTCCTTCAGTTGTACAATTATTTTCAAATTAGGCAAACGAATGCTTTCTGACAAAATTAAAATATACTCAGGAAAAATTTAAAATTCACTAAACCAAATGGACATCAAATTATATCATGTTGGGCAGAGAGGAATTAACTGTTCATCAAACATAATTATAGTATCGGGTCTGAACTTTGTGTCATGCATCAAAATGTCTCACAATGACAACTTTCATTTTTACAGTGATAAAAACTAAAATATACATATGAATGTTATTTTTTTCTCGGATATAAGGGACATTTCCCCCCAACTGTTAATTTCTCAATACAATTTCTCAATACAAAACAAAAACATGATAGGGCACAAAAAATGTCTCAGTGGCTTATTTCAAGCAACTAATGGTCCGTTCATTTGTTTAACCATCCCTTGGGACCATCTGTAATCTACTCCGATAAGAAGTGTGCAGAAAACAGACCTAACGTTGTGTTGTTCAGTTATTAGGAGGATGCTCAGTGTTTGGGCTCACACAAGTGTCCCTCAGGGAAACGCTCTGCGTGCCATTAGCACGGTGCCTAATGAGGAAAAGCACAGAACTCCTTTAGTTCAGTGCCAGAATTGTTTTATCTTCAAGTCAAAAGAACAACTACTTGGAGTAACACCAAAACAAGCATTTAACAATTACAAGCAGCAAGCTATTCATAAGCAACATATTGTTAATGCTACTCTAATTATAAATAACCCTATTTTATCAAATAAAATATCTGTCAGCAAATTTTTAAGTCCCAGATACCTCTTCGTTTGACTGATTTACTCCTTAACTTTAAGAAAAAAATCCTTATTGCTTTAATTTAAACAACCTTGTTTTAAAGATTTCTAATGGAAAAGTGAGACTTAGGGAATTTTTACATTTTTGACCCCTGAGTAGGTAATCTTCAAAGAAAACTTACGAATCGTAAACAAAGGCCTGAAACAGAATATGGTGTTTATAATCCTTCTCCATGACACAGTGAAGTGGGAACGTCTGGAGAAAAGACTGCTTCCCTTCTATCAGTGCCCTACCTAGCTCTTCCCGAGTGCGGCGTTTCCTTCCTGATACAAGACTGCCATCGAGACGGTATTACTGATGCAATTTCCTGATGCAAAGAACTGTTCTGAAAAAGGAGCTAAGTAGTCAATACTGACTTTGTTTAAAAAAAAAAAAAAAAAAAAAGAATTATAAATTACAAACAGTAAAGTGTTTGTAATTCATATAAACCTTAAATGTCTAACTTGATGAATTTCTGCTATGTGTACACCTATGTAATTCCACCCAGATAAATACATAACATTTCCGTCACTGCAGAAAGTCCCCTCCTGCCTGTCAATAACCCCTGCCCAATAACCTCTACCCCGAGATTTACTTTGACTTTCTGAACTTCACATAAATAGAATTACACAGCAGGTACTCTCTCACATCTGCTACCTTTGCCCCAGAGAACGTATGTGAGATTTCTATGCGCTGCTGCGTATGTTCACCACCTGTTATTGCTGTGTAGTGTTACCTTGTGCAGCTACACCACACTCTCCATCCTCCTGGGTGCCTAACAGGCACCTGGGTCACTTCCCAGTTTTAGGATATGACGACAATGACAGCTGTGATAAGCTTTCTCACATAACATTTGGTAACGTAAACCTCCCATCTCTCGGGTATATACCCAGACGTTACCATAAAGTAGGCAAATATCTTTAGCTAGATGTTGCCTAAGTTTTTAAAAGTTATGTCATGGTGGTGAGTGAGTGGCATTTCATTATGAACTAACTCTAGTGAATAACGACGTTGAGCATCTTTTCAGATGCTTATCAGCCATTTGACTATGTACGTTTTTTGGGGCCTCTGTTCAAATTTTTGTCCATTTTAAATTCTTTAAATAAAAGATTTTATTATTTTTATTTAAAGAGAGGGGGAAAGAGAGAGAGAGAAGTATCAATGTGTGGTTGCTTCGTGCAACCCAGGCGTGTGCCCTGTCTGAGAATCGAACCAGTGACATTTTGATTCGCAGGCCAGCACTCAATCCACTGAGCCACACCAGCGAGGGCTCAATTGTCTTCTTTTTGATTTGTAGAAATTCTTCATATATCCAACATATGTATTTAAATGTGTTCTTTCAGATTTCAGCTTGCCTTTCCACTCTTGTTTCTTAACTATGTAAAAAAATTTTTTAATTGATTTTAGAGAGAAGAAAGGAGAGACAGAGAGGGAGGGAGGAAGAGAAAGGGAGGGGGGAGGGAGGAGGAGGGGGGAGAGGAAGAAACACTGATTTGTGGTTCCATCCATTTCTGCATTCACTGGTTAACTCTTGTATGTGCCCCAGCCGGGGATCAAACCTGCAACCTTGGCTCATGGGGACGAGACTCTAACCCACTGAGCTACCTGGCCCGGGCCACCTTTTCACTTTCTTAATGATCTCTCTTGATAAAGAGCATTTCTGAATTTTAGTGAAACTCAACTGATCATATTTCTTTTAGCAGTTAATGCTTATTTGTGTCATTTAAAAAAATCCTTCCTACGACAAGCTCACAAAGACACTCTCACGTTTCCTTCTAGAGGCCTATTCGAGCTGTCACTCTCCCCACCTTCCCAGCAGCCTCTCCTCTCCCAACCCGCCCAGTTAGTCAGTCAAGGATGCACCACGTGACAAAACAAATGGAATCCATTAGGTCTCTTTTATTCTGTGTGCTATTATTTAAAACACCAAATCCCTGCTAGTAAATTCTAACTTGCGAGGATGGGAATGTGTCTCCTTTGGGAATATATTATAGTGACTCCTCATAGAACTGTTTATCACTTCAGTGTCTAATGACAATGACACGCCCCGTCCCATGGCTCTGGCTGGCATATGCAGACCCTCTTACTGGCAGCAGCTACCGTTACTAATACTGTGCTGCATATTCGAAAGATGCTAACAGAGTAGATCTTCAAAGTTCATCACAAGAAAAAGGCTCTGTAACGGGGCACAGAGACGGATGTTAACTAGACTTACCATGGCGGTCATTTCACAATATACGCAAAACCATGTCATTAGACTGGACACCTGAAACTAGTATAATGTATGTCCATTATACCTCAATAATATAATTACTGAACAAAAAAAAAATGAAGACATTTCAACACACTACAAGTCAGCATTTCTGAAAAATCAGTGTTGAAATTTTAAACGTTTAGACTACACTGGGACACATACTGAGCAAATACGAAATGAACTCATTTCCCACTGATCTGACTTCAGTGGGAATTGACCTGCGCTCAGTGGAATCAGCATTTGATAGAAAGAAACAGAACTTTCATATACCTCTGGTAAATATCAATAAACCTTTGACTTTATCTTTGCAAATTTGGGACATGTGTGAATTATACAGTATCTGTCCTGTCAGTGAATTCATATTAAAAAAAACAATGAAGCCCCGGCAGAGTGGCTCAGTTAGTTGGAGCATTGTCCCGTACAAAAACAAAAGGTTCCAGGTTCAATTCCCCAGCAGGGAACAAACCTAAGTGGCAGGTTCGATCTCCAGCAGGGAGCATACAGGAGGCAACCAACTGATGTTTCTCTCTCACGTCAATGTTCCCCTCTCTCTAAAATCAATAGACATATCCTCAGGTGAGGATTAAAGAAACCAAAACAATGCATTTATGCTACTGTTGACCCTTGAATAACACGGGTTTGAACGTGCAGGTCCACTTATATGTGGATTTTTTTTTTTCCAATACGTACAGTACTGTAAATGTATTTTCCTTATGACTTTCTTAATATATTTTCTCTAGCTTACTTTAAGAATACAGTGTAGAAGTATAATACGCATAACATATAAAATATGCATTAACCAACTGTTTATGTTTCCGGGAAGGCCTCCAGTGGACAGTAGGCAATCAGCAAGTTCTGGGAAAGTTTTACATGAATCTTTGACCACTGGGGGTGGGAGTGTTGGCTGGCACCCCGAGCCTCTGTGCTGTTCAAGGATCAACTACAGTTTACAAATGGTGGTAACCACTGAGTCCAGGATGCCTGGAACTTTGAAGATGAACCTAAAACTCAGGGCTATCCTGTAATTTCCAGTGTGGAGTCGCACTAGGAGGAATTTGGGTCCACTAGGGATATATTCTCCTTTACGAAGCGACTAAAGCTGAAACTTAGAGCCATCAGTCAGATAGACTTGTGTTAGAAAGTGAGATGTACCTTGTCTGAATTCACCCTATACACTCGAGATAAAGTAACTGAGAAAACAGTTACTAGGAAACAGGCTTTTATTAAAAATTTATCAATGACTATAACTGCACAGTTAGACAAATGTTTTTGGATTACCTTTACATTACCATTCAGCAGTCCCAACTTTTTAAAGTCAATAACATTTTTCCAAGTACCAATTAAAATTCATGCAACTGACATATAAATCATGTAACGCGCTATTTTAAAAAATGCTAGCACTGAGGAGAGCCTAGACTTACCTGTAGTAATAGCTCTGTGGAACTGATGCATGTCTTCTCCTGAGAGCTCCTGCGCCACCTGCAGTATCTTTTGTCTGACACCTTCCAATTTAATCTCTGATTCGGTCAATATATCTTCCATATCAGGAGCGCTATAATCAAGATATTGGGAACTTTTAAAACAGCCAGATGCTTTATAGTGAAAAACTAAAATAATCTAATTATCACTTAACACCGACCTAAATAAATACTCTTCATACTCAGATACTAACTGAAATTTACAACCGATTTTATAAAAACTATTTAACATGAAAAGTGCTATAACATACTCTTAAGTGAAAAGAGCATGCAAAGTTTTATGTATATTATAATCATAACTATAACAAAGCTATGTTCATAAAAACACGACATGTAGAGATGTCTGCTTTTAGTCAGGATGGAGTAACGTGGACAGAAATGATCCTCCCACCATAAACAACTAAAAAGAAAAAATACATACAAAACTATGATTTTCAGACACTGGACAAGAGGCAGCCTGGGACAGTGAACGCGGAGAGAGGTGAAAGAGAGGACACAGGCCCCACAGGCTGTCCTGTCTCAGTGCCTGGAAACTTTCCAAGGGACAGTGGAGGGACGAGAAACCTACACGGAGCCTAGGAGTCTCCCCGAGAATGTATTTTGAACTGAGTGAAAATGAAAACACAACATATCAAAATTCATGGAATGCAGCTAAAATAAAGTATACTTAGAGACTTAAAAGGGAAATTTATAGCACTAAATGTCTACGTTAGAAAAGAAGTTTCTTCTTTGATCTCAGCTTCCACCTTAAGAATCCAGAAAAAGAGGAGCAATTGAATCCAAAGCAAGTATACAAAGGGAAAAAATAAATCAAAGGTAACATAAAATAGGAAAATAGACAATGTCAATGAAACCAACATTTGGTCCTTTAAGAGCAATTAAATTGATCCAGACAGATCAGTAAAAAGAGAGGACACAAATTACCAACACCAGGGTTGAGAGATGTCTCTAGAGATCCTACATAAATAAAAGTATAACAAAGAAATATCATGAGATGTGAAAATTCCTTGAAAGACACAAACTACCAAAGCTCACTGATGAAGAAAAAGATATTTACCTATATCTATAAAGAAAATCTTTATTGTTAAAATCTGCCTGCTAACATCCTTGATCCTAACATTGACAAAGTCAGTCACAGAATATTCTAACAGCTAGTTACTGTCCAGTGAGGTATCAAATATTACAATTATACAAAACATACCAAATTGTACCCAATTGTAATAAATTTTAAAGATATTTACTCACCTTGTAATCCTATGGAGCAGAAAAATTGTCCTTTTACTTTCTACAGTTATATCCCGACTAAGTTTTACAAGTCTCTCATATTTATCATGTCTTGCATCAAGTTCCTGCTGAAATGCTAAGAATACATTATTATGACCATAAGCATGCATAGTCTATAATTAAAGCCTATCAAGCAATACTGTTACTCTGCATGATAAAGCAACTATTATTTACTCAATAAAGAAAACACAATCATACTTATTGTTAAAATACTTGGAAATCAAAGACTCTGTTAGTAACCAAAATATTCTTTCTTTAAATCAAGGTATGCTTTAATGGGTTTTACCACTCAGAGCCTTCTAATGAGATGTCCATACTGTTAAAAAATATGTGGTGTGGGAAACAGGAGCTTATCAAAAAATTATCACATGTAACTATTTTAAAAAATACTTCCAACTATCTAAGTAACAAAAATTTTTACAATTATTTTACCACATACAATATAAATATCCCCCCCCTCAAATAGAACTTTTAAATTAGAAGTCTCTAACTTTTAAATAACATCAACTTCCTTAATTTTCAAGCCCTAGTCATTGAAACACCAAAAGCAACGTAAGCCTCATAACCGCTTCATGTGAGAAGCATTGTCACTCTAAGGACCTAGCAAAGTGCCTGTCCTGTAAGGAGAACATGCAGTAAGTTTATTTTGCAAGAATAAAAAAAACAGACCTTAAATAAACTATAAGCCAATATGTATTTGACAAGGACCTAAATACATGTGTTTTTTTATTAAAAAACATGGTGTTTTATTATTGAGATAATAACGAAGCTAGATTTTGCCTAATATTCAAGGCAATCAAATGTTTTTTTGTTATTAATACATTAATGACCGCTGTGAACTAGATACAATGAACACAAAGTTAAAGGAGACGGTTCCTATCCGCAAGGAGCTTATTAGCACAGTATGAAACGGAGATACACGCAAATAAAATGTGGTCATCCTATAACATAGTCAAAAGGTTCGGTAAAGTGAGAACCACATTTTTCTTCTTCCCTAGCACATGTCAGAACTACAGTAGATGCTCAGCAAATACTTCATGGCTGAAAGGATGAATAATGGACGAATGAATGCAATATTTGTCACCAACTGTGCTGGAGAGAAATGTCAGAAAGGTTTCAAAGGGAAGAAGCTACTTGAGCCAGGTCCTGAGCAAACCCACAGCTCATCAGATGGACCCTGAGCACCTTACATCGGAAGCAACTCCAAGCACAAGAAACTATGTGCGAAAGGCAGGCAGAAACAGGACACGGTATCACGTGCGGGGACACAGGCAGCTCTCTGTGGAGCATGTCAGAGGATGAGAGTGGACATACTCAGCCCATTGCAATTTTTCCCGAAATCAACAGCCATGATGAACACACTCTCGACTCAATTACAACTAGTTGTCTTACATCTCTGGAGAGCACAGTAGGAGCTGTGCTTGTTTTCAAACATGGCCAGAAATTACGTGACTCTTCCCTTCAAAAAGTGGAACCTAATTCCCTGCCCCTTAAATATGAGGCAGAGCTTCTAAACTGCCTCACTGCTAACCTATAAAATGTAGCTGAGTGCCAGATTACAGTGTCTGAGACCAGGCCTAAGGGGATCACGGATTCATCCGTGCTGTGTCTGGAGAAAGCCAGATGCCACACCGTGAGGACACTGGAGCAGCAGCAGACGGGTCCGCGTGGAGAGGACCCGAGCTGCTCGTTGGCTGATGCCCTAACTTGTTTATGGCCAAGGGTCCCGCAGGCCAACCCAGCCACCAGATGACTACACAGTAGAATCAACTGCTAAGCACCTCTCAGGTTCCTGAACAGAAACTGTAAGGTGCACGATGTTGGATGAAGGACAAGAATTTTGTTTTTGTTCTGTTTTGAAATGAGGAACAACTCGACCAAGTTAATATACATTGAATACATATCTATCTATTGACCCATCCACCCAAGATTCACTAGGAGATAGGAGTCCCCACTCCGGGCAAAGTGCTACAGTCAAAACAAAAATACAGTCCATCTTCAAGAGTCTAGTTGAGGAAACAAAACCAATACACATTTAAGAAATTAATTAAACACCTGTGCATATATATACAATATATATACCTGATACACACACACACACACACACACACACACACACACACAAAACCCCCAATACATAGTCACGGGCCATGTAATGACGCTCTGGTCAATGATGAACCTCACATACAAGGGCAGTCCCATAAAATTATAATGGAGATGAAACACTCCTATTGCACAGTGACATCACAGCCACTGTCACTTCGTAATGCGACACATTCCTCAGTGTGTGTGGTGAGGCTGGTGTAAACAAACCCACTGCACTGTGAGGCCTATGAAAGCAGAGCTCCAACAAGCACAGCAGAAGCCGGACCACCCAGGCGCGTAAGTGCGCTCGGCGATGATGGCACAACCGCGCCGTCACCAAGTGGGACTGTGTGTGGGTAGCTGATATATTTTATGTATCAGATACACACTAAGTTCTGGTTACGTGGCAGGTCTCACATCCATGACACAATGTTTACCTGTGGACCGGTAATAGGGAAAACAAAAAAAAGCCAAGACTTTCCTGGCCAATCTAGCATCATCCAAAACCTCCAGAAAAAGTAAACTATTCACATACGCACATCGTAAATCCTTAGAGGCTGTTCATCTTGTGAACAACAATGGCTAAACAATCCTTGTTAAAACGTCCTTAGTTCTCTTCCTTGGTCAACTGACATTAGAGAACTTACATTTGAAGGCCAACATCACAGGTGAAGATGAATTAACATCCTTCCCTTCTCTTCGCTGGTTATGTGGGAAATTGTCATGCTTCCTTTTCCTGAACCCTCCTGATCCTTACGTAGAGAAGGAGAAAAAAGTTAGACAGGCTCTTCCAGCCCAGGAGGTGAAACAACGTAACGCAGGCAGGCAAACCCTTCCTTCCTTAAAGCCAGATGCCCACAGAGCCCTGGCCTGGGAGGCTGTCTCAGCCGACTGACGGGAAAGCCTTGTCCCTTTCCCCCAAACCTCAAGCTCGCTAAGCCAAGATACCACCAATAGGTTCCTTGCTCTGGTACAAGATGGAGTAATTACCCAGCTAAGATTTTTAAAAAGCAGATCGTGCATTTAAGGAAAATAAGAGGTGTTAGAGAGGGCCAGTGTGGCCGAAAAGGTCACCAGGGCCGGCACCCCCAGCCTGCAAGGGGCGAGGGCATCCCTCGAGAAAGAAGGGGAAATCCGACAAAAAAACTAAAAGTCCCCCCCTTTGGATAAATAACGCCCAGCGCTGTTGGGGACGCCACCTTCTTTGTTGCTCATGGCGTCACGGCCTACGGTGAGATGAGCCCAAACTGAGCGCCTCCGAGTTGGGGGAGCACGTAAGGCGAAGGCGGGAGAGTCTGCCGAGGAGCCCTTTGCATCCGCTGACGACAGCGCACGGGCCGGAAGCGCGCGCCCCCAGCCACTCAAGCCTCTGCCTTGGGTCTCGCACACTTCCGGCCTGCGTCCCAGCCTCGCCGCCACTGGCTCCGCCCCTCGTGTGGCCCGGGGGACCCCGCGCACGCGTGCTGTCATCGCTCCTGCCTTCTGCCATGCCTGGCGCCAGAAGCGACTCTGCACGCTTCCCTGCAGGCGCTACTAATAGATAAGATGGTCTGCCCACCTGGAGGTGACGTCTGTGTGAAGATGGAAAGGCGGCGGAAGATGTATAAATGAACGTGATTCTTTGCCTACGGCGCCTTTGAAACACCCTCGCGAGCCCGCACCGTGGACCCAGCCTCCCCCGCGGTGCATAGTGGGGCTTGTAGTTCTCCCGGAGGGGCGGCCGGGTGGCGCCAGAGGCATGCTGGGAGGAAGGCCTCCCTGAGCAACTGTGAGATGTCTCTTTAGGATCTAGGACTAACCTTACCGAGTTAGTTTTTATTTATTGATTAACTGATTGATTTTAGAGGCGGGAAATATCCATTTGTTGTTCCACTTATTTATGCCCTCATTGGTTGATCCTTGTATGTACTGTGATAGGGGATCCAACTCACAACCTTGATGTGTGCGGACAGTGCTATAATCAACCCAGCTACCCGGCCAGGGCCCCCAGTTAGCTTTTAAACTTCTCCCTGGCGGTCACTCAGCAGCTAAAGTGATGGAAATATACAATAGTAAATGTGTGACGAGCGTTTTCTCTGAGCAGGTAAAAGCCCCGTTTCTGTGCCCTGCCCCTGCGCCCTCTGCCCTTCCTCCACTTTCTCCCCCTCCTCTGTCCTCTCCTGCTTTATTCCTTTTTCCTGGCTTTCTGGAGCCGCATTGCCTGCCTTCAGATCCGGTCCGTCAACCAGTGGTTGTGTGACCTTGAAGAAGTAATTAATCTCTGAGCCTCAGTTTCTTTATCTGTAAAGTAGGGATACAGCAGTACCCACCCGCCTGGTAGGACTCTTTCAAGGACTAAATGAGTTACTCCCAAGGCCCGTAGAAGAGTGCCTTTCACGTAGTGAATGCTCAATTAAATATTACCTTTGATAACCCTTCTCTCAAATAAAGTAGAAGTTAGTAGTAATAATAGTTGCGCACCACTAAATTGTGAGCTTTCTTCTGTGGGCAGGTACTGTCACGTCTTATCAGACTTCTAACCTTCGTGCCCACGCCACGCCAACGCCGTCTTCGTACAGTGCCCGTGTAAGCCTCCGTGGTGTCCGCGGAATGGCTGTCCGTCATCAAGACAGGTAGCTAGGTGGCAGCCCAGCATCCTTTAGATACACGCTCAGGCTGAGGCTTGGTAAGCCGGCTGACCTGGGCCAAACAGGGGAAACACAAGCATGTTTTATTACCCTTTCTCTAAATAACCGCCATACTGTAGGCACCCGGTATTCTCGTCAATTTAAGAACAAAGGAACAGTAAATGAAACAGCTTGGCTAGAATATGGCAGGACTGGCATTTCAAGCCCCTGAAACTAGTGTCATAGAAAGGTTTTCAGTTTGTGGGTAATCACGAGGGTCTTTTCCCACCTTGAAGCAAGAAAATAACCACCACCCACTATACCTTTGCATTCCTTTGAATACGTGAATTGATTAGCCAGATTCCTTGCTGATAAACTAAGGACCTGGGCGGAAATCTTGATTTATGGATGTTGAGCATATAATTTTCAATTTGTGTGAGGTCTGACCCACTTCACATAATCCACAGGTATCTCTGTCCCCACTCCCCTGCTTTGAGGAGAGATGTCTAGACCACGGGGGCAGAGGGAAAAAAAGACAACGGATATAAATGGAATCATTTTAATGTGACTCCTTCTAAATTCAAGGAAACCAGTAGGTTATGAAATTTTTAGAGTCAATACTTATTTTATCATAGTCTGGAAAAAGCATATTTTTCCTAACTCTAGTGGAATAGCGTTTGCCAAGACCTCAACTTGCCAAACTGGCATGAGCTGTCTTTTCTCCCTCTTGCCACCTCTCTCCTGTTCACTTGGCCACCTACACCTGTGACAGGTGCACTGCTTTTCACTGCTCCCCTTAAAGGTAGCGATTAGAACACTTAGGTTTCATAACCTGTGATGACTTATCAGCGTACTTAATGGAGGTGAATCCCAGGAATGCTTTCCCAGCACTTATTTGCATAGGCACTTACCCAAGGTGTTCCCACTGTAGCTACTCCTTTGTCAGGAAATACCTTTGCAGCTTCGTGACGACCTGCAAAGGCATCCCCACCTTGTGTCCTTGTTTTCTTGTTTCAGATGCACACACATAGTTTGGTATTTCGCAAAAACACGTTTTTGGTTAATTTTCAAAGAAAATTACCACCCCAAGGCAGGGAGAGAAAGGTAAAGGTGTTCAGTAAGACCTTAATCCTAGAAGGGTGTGTTTTCCTCCATCTAGTATTGCATTCCGGTGCCCACATTTGACTCTTGACTAAAATGCTAAGCCTTTTGGATGCAGCTGTTCTTATTTCATTTATAAATATCTTTGTTGCCTTTACAAGAAAAAAAAAACATATCAAAACTGGTTTTGGGTATTGAAAAAAAATGTAATAAAGTAAGAGAAGAAAAATAAGTCCTTAAGAAATTGTTGCAGCATTTACCTTATTATGTAGTTATTACATAAATTCTGGAGGGGTGAGGGAGAGGGGGTGGTATTGTCATGCAGTATTATCATATTTAAAAGACATCTGTAGGGTCTGGAGTGTTATTGTGAAGCGTGCACATTGCAGTTCACAGATCTGTGTTTCAAGACCTGCTAGAATGCACTAGGAGAAAATGATGTTTGGTTCTTTTCTGGAAAGGGAAGATGGTATTTGAGGTAGTAAAATGGGATAGGCAAAACCACAATGAGATACCACTTCTCATCCACTAGGGTGGTTATAATTTCAAAAAAAAAAAATTCAAGAGTTATGTGAGTGTGGAGAAATTGGAACTCTCAGACATTGCCAGTAGGAATGTAAAATGTTCTGTTAAAGGAGACATGTTGGCAGTCTCAAAGCCTTAAACCTAGAATTACTCTATGACCCATAATTCCACTAAGGATGAAAGACAGGGTTTCCTGGGGTCGGGGAGGGTCAGGAAAGACCTCACTGGGAAGGGGACACGTGGACGTGGACTTGAAGGAGGTGAACAGGGGACCCATGCCAGTATCTGGGATCTTTTCCCTTTGCTGAGTGCCAGTAATTTTTCCCTCTTCTACGTTATTTTTTTTTCCTTTTGCCCTTCTGCATCATTCCCATCACCATACAAAAGTGCTGTCATATCGTCCATCTTAAGACACACCTCCTGAGGCCAGTTCTGTCTGCAGCTTACACACCATTTATTTCTCTGCCCCTCCCTGCGGTAAAACCCCCACACAAGCCCCCGTTCTTCCTCGGTCCTTCTCTAATCAGGCTGCTGCCCCTCAGGAGCTGCTCTTGTCAAGGTCGCCGGTGACTTCCACGTTGCTGAATCTGATGACCAGTGCTTATTCCTCATCTCACTGGACCTACAGCAGCATTGAGCACACTCGTCATTTTCTGTGTCACTTCCAGACACCACATTCTCTGGGCTTCCCTTCTACCTCATTAGCCCATTCTCCTGAGCCCAAACTCATATCATATCACCTCTTCAGTGTCTCCTCCTGATGAAATTAACATCCAAAACTGAAGATAATTTCCCAAGACCCATCTTTCAGCATTATTCCCTATTTCAGTTCATGTAAATCTTTTTCCAATTAATTAGACCTAAAAACTAATCATCCTTGACTCCTCTTCCCTCCCCATTCCACATGCTATTTGCTGTAAATTGAGTTATAGCCCCCAAAATTCATATGTTGAAACACTAACCCTCAATTTGACTCTATTTGGAGATAGGGCTTTTAAGAGGTTGTTAAGGTTAAATAATGTCATAAGGATGGGGTCATAATCCAGTAGGACTGATGGCCTTTTAAGAAGAGGATGAGCCCTGGCCAGGTGACTCAGTTGGTTAGAGCATCATCCCAATACCATGAGGCTGTGGGTTCAACCCCTGGTCAGGGCACATAGAGCAGGCAGCCAGTGAGTGCATGAATGAGTGGAGCAGTGGATTGGTGTTCTCTCTCTCTCTCTCTTCCTTTCTCTCTGCCTCTAAAATCAATTTTAAAAATTATTTTTTTAAAAAGAAGAAGATGAGAGCAATCCACTTGACTCCATGTGCACACACCAAGGAAAGGCGATGCAAGGGCAGAGCCAGCAGGTGACCATCTGCAAAGCCAAGAAGAAAGGCCTTGCCAGGACCTGACCATCCTGACACTCTGATTTTGGACTTCCAGTCCCAGATCTGTGAGAAAACAAATGTGTTGTCTAAGCCACCCAGTGTTTTCTTGTGGCAGCCCAAGCCAACTAAAACACTATTTCTAACACGTATTCTACCTTCAACACATATTCAGGATACAGCCAGTCTCCCCAGGTTCTACTTGGCACCTTGGCCCAGGCTACTATCAGCTCTCACCTGAAATACTGCAGGGCCCTTGTAACCGAATAGAGATGTCGGTCCACATTAAGAGGCAGAGTCCACTTCCCTGCCCCCGGTACTGAGTTGGCCCTTGACTTGCTTTGACTAATTATATGTGGGGGAAGTGATACCGCGCCAGTTGCAAGCCTAGCCCCTAAGAGGCCTGGCAGCTTCCCCTTTAGCCCTCTCAGAACCTGGAGCCACCATGTAAGAGTCTGACCAGTCCCCGTTCCTTACACCAGCCCAGCTGGGGCACCAGACCCGGCAGGGAAGCTGCCCTGGATACTTCGGTCGCAGGTGACCTGCCTCCTGAGTCTCCGCAGCACCACGGGCCCGGATGTCACTGCCCGGAAGCCAAGGGACAGCCCATCGTCCCACAGGATCATGAAAAACAATAAACTTTTGTTTTAAAGTCCCTACCTTTGGGGGTAGTTTGTCATGCAGCAATAAATAACTAGTCTCCAATTTCCAGTTTTGCCCAACTTTCGGTCTTCCACGTAGCAGCCAGAGTGATTCCATTAAAATATATATGTAGCTGATGTCATTCCTCTACTTAAAACTGCAAGGACTCA